TAAAATCCTCGATTAATCGTGCGTTGAATGTACTTTAAATTTGGTTAAATATATGATATTACAGGCTCGTTTATCGAACACTTTGACCATCGATCAAACGGGCTTTTTATTTGCCGCTCGTATATTCGCGCCTCGTAAAATCGTGTGACGAGCTCGAATCGTCAACGAAAAGTTTTATTTCTCTTGAATTTCGATCAACTTCGAGTGGCGTTAATGTATAGCTTCGATAACACGACCTCTTGCTTACAAATATTTTCTCTCTTTTATCTGATTTATACACGCGCGGTTCGTTCGCTACCGGTCTATTATACGCTCGATCATTGTTTTCATACCTGCTTTAGTTTTTTACGTCAACCCTTTTCGCTTGAAAGAACGTTTATACATGTACTCCCTCCAAGGAAGGATGCTGAACTACGAGAGACTTCGTACTCCATGAAAGAGATACGATTGTAGCAATTTTATGCCAATCGATACGATAGATGTTTATTCGCATTGCGATTTTCGCATGATTTCCACTCGATTTACCATTGATTAATTATTTCTTGGGTCACTGGTTTCGATCCACTAACTTTGTACTACGAGTTCCAATTATCAAATTGATTTTAGATCGGGTATTGATACGGAACTACGATAACCCCGTCGACACTGAGTCTCAATTACTGCGACAACACCAGATCATCCAGTGTAAACGCAGCAATTATTAATTAACCGAGAATGCGTATAGCTACGGTTAATCGCGTTAGGCTTGGTCAATCAGAGACCCAACGAATACCCGTAACCACGGAATAAAAAGCAAAAGAAAAAAGGTGGAGACCATTAAATTTCTCGTATTCGTGATTTATCCTAATACCTTATTACGTGTTAAAACATTGGAAAAGCTTTCTTTTATCAGCCACCATTTCAGCCTGTGCATGTCGCGAACGTATTAACATTCGATACCCTAAATACACGATAACCGGGATTCTCGAAACTCGATATCCGTTATATCACGTGCATAATTAAATTTCTCATTAAAGAACAACTAGCTCGCTCTCCGAACATTCCTTGATTTTAATGTAAAATTAGCCCGTGCTCCCGTGTTTTAATACACCCTGTGATTACGCTGGAGGAGTCGCGTGATCCGATCGTTCTCTGAAAACATGCACCAACGTAATATGGTACCCATAGCCGGCTGCATATCGGTTTCGATCAACGTATTAAGCCGCTTTCGCCGGGCGAATTGCATGCCGCACAATCGCTCTACTATAATTTTTATGGTTATACCATGTTTCCGAGCGTACCAAAAATCCTTCCTCTATCGATTCGAGAGCTGAGCAGACAAGTAAGACGGTAGAAGACTTTACCCTTCTTCCCTCGTGTTTTTCTTTCGACCGTTTCGCTTTTCTTCTCTCCTTTCTCAACGCTAGTTTCTTCCTTCTCGGCCGTTCTTGCCTCCAACTTTTCTTTTTTCTCCCCTGTCTCTTTCACGGAAGATCGTAAGATAAATTGGTTGGCACAGGTCTGACCGCTCGAAACTTTCACGATATTTCCAACGTTAGTTAAAATTAGTGGAGTATCGCGGACGAAAAGTCTGATAATGTTATCTTCCAGTTTCCGTCCGGTTCCTTCCCCATCGCGATAACGCCTATCTCCGTTTCCGTGTCAGATTCCTCTCTTCGTTCCTACCGTCTTCCTGTTTCTCAACATGTCGCGTACTTCCTTTTTCAAAAATATCGATCTTCGCGCGGCACAGCTTTTTCCGTGAAATACGCCTTCCATAAAACATACGTATAACTTTCGGAACAACGCTTTCGTCGGGGACAATTAAGCGAGAGCTTAAAAAATTTGAGCAAACGGGACGAGATTTAAAAGATTAACGAACATAAACGTCTGTTTTGCATTTTGCGTGGGCGTGCCGCGCCGTTTACTCCAACAGTCAAACGAACGAGAGCAGAGAATTAACGTAATTAGCAATGCTACCGTTCCCTGATTATACCTGTTAAAAAATGACGAAAAAACCGAAATAACACGGCGATACGTGTTCTTGAAATCTAGCTCGCATTAAACCCCTCCTCCTCTTTACATATCCCTCCCTCGTCGCTTTGCAAAGTCATTTGTGATATTTATTATCTCTCTGCTCCACACAACAGACGAGATTTTACGAGTATTTAAACTCCATTTCTGTAATAGATATATAATTGCACGATTTAAATTAAGGAGATAACGCGAAACGAGTTACCGTAATGCGATTAAATGAGGGCTATTATCAACGAATTTATTTTTGTCTACCAACCACGTGTCATGAGTGTGCAAAATGTACATAAGTTAGGACATGCATTTTATATCGTCTGGATTACGAATATAGTACGTGTGAAATATTGTATGCAACGCTAGTCCGAGCAGTACGGAATTGTTGAAGCTAGTAAAATCAAGAGTATTATTTATTTGCTATATTTCCCATTGCTCTGAATGACGTGACAATGCGCTATAGGCGGGGTTTAGATATCTTGAAAGGCGTGACTCAATTGCTACTAAAACGTGACTTTTCCTAAACGACATGGCTTAACTCTTCTGAAAGACGTAATTTCTCTGAAAGGAGTGGTTTCAGTTCTCTATAAGGCGTGATTTCATTTACTGAGCAACGTGATCTAATTTGCTCTAGAACACAATAGCTTAGGTTCCTTGAGAAACGCGATCTTCCTTAACAAGTGCGATATAATCGTCTTGAAAAACATTGCGTTGTCCCTGGAAGGCGTGGCTACCGTCTCGAAGGGCGTTGCTACCTGTAGTTTTCTTTGCCAGCTCGAATGGTTCCCTTTGATAGCTAACTCGATCGTGGCATAATTTATTTGAAAATCGGGTCGTAAAAATGTCATCTAATCTTCTTAAAAGGCGTGATGTAATTTTCTTAAGAGACGCGATATAATGCGATAAAGGATGTGGCTAGTATCTTGAGAACCGTGACCTGATTCGTTTCAGAATCCAGTCGAGTCGTAACTCGGATTCTCCGAGAATCGTAATTTTCCTTAAAATGTGACGTAGCTTTTCAAAAAGACGCGGTTAGTGCTCCAAAAGGCGTGACTAGTGTCCTAAGGGGCGTGTCTTAGATCTCGAGAGGCGTGGTTAGGTATTCCATGAACGTAAAATCTGATGAATAATTTTTCTTTCAATGACAAACGGTCATTGTGCGCCAATTACGAATATATCGGTTTCATCCTGCTGGTACAAATTAAGAAAGTTTTCTGCCATACGATTGTACAACCCGCAAAAACGATTTAAATTACTTTCAGCCGCGGAGACGTTTAAAAATTTTTCAGTTTTAATTACGAACCACTCGAGCATTCGAATAATTAAACTAGAAATCTCGGAATGCCGACGACTACCTAAGAGGTGGCAAGTCACCTCTTGAAATTTGCGTCACCTTTTCTTTTTTCTTATTATTCTTCCTACGCTCTACGTTTCCAATTTCAAGTTTCGTCTCTAAATGGTCATTATCTGTCTTGAATAGAATTTTCACCCTCGCGATATCGATGTCGATTGAAACTCGAAGTAGAGCGGTCGCCGGACGAGGAATTTTCCTGCTATCGACACGAAACAAAGTGAACTTCTTTCTTGGACACGTGTACAGATCGTATCGAGGACTCTGAAAATATACGATTACTTGAAAGGATTCAAATCGAACAAATTATTTCGTGTTTGATCGAACGAGCATCAGCTTCTGCTTAAATTAGCGGAAATTAATTGCAAATACGCGGTATCGAAGACTTTGATTGGAACGTTCGCGTTGATCGTGATTATTTAATGTCGATCGTATTTCCGTACTGATTAATTAAAATTTACTAACGCACGGATACGATGGAATACCATTGTACGCGTTGTACAAAGGCAACCAGTTGTTTGTTCAGTGACAATGGAAAAGTTTCGTACACCGAGAACTTTACATCGAAAAACTTTACACCGACTCTTGGTATTTTCCATCAAATTTTCTTCTTAATTGTTGTTAAGAACTACTTTCCAGCGCTGACTGATACAGTCAAAATAGCTGTAAGCGATACGACGATTCAATTTGTAAAATACTGCTCCGATTTAATATACCACGAAAACAACTTTACTTCTTTTAAATTTATTATTTATTTAGTTAATTAGCCCAAGTTCTCTTTGACTTCAAAAAAATTTTAAATCGTTTACTTTACTTTACATAGGTTCAAAGACCTCGGAAATTCGTTTCGTACGTAAGTTCAAAGAGCCTCGGATATAAATTAATTGTTCCTATTTCGGCTATAATTCGTTTAAACGAGTGACAGACGTGCCAAGTGTCTAAATGATCGTTCATTCGTGAAATCTCTAGCAAACGTGTTGCTACGTCAAGTTTAAGAGCAATTATCCTAATTATCGTAATTAGAGACGCAGCAAAGAGAATCTTAAGATCAAGGAAACTTAAGATCATGCTTGACAAAGAAACGTTACCTTCTCTAATTCGATTCTAACTACGTATTATCTTCTCTTAAGTTTACAATTAGAGTAACGATACAAATGGCTATATTGCCATCTTCGAACGGACTAATGGTAAAGATATGCGATACAGCTTTAAGAATAATAACAGAATGTTACATTTTGCTTGAACATATTTTTACATGTAGCCTCCAGCATAGAAATACGAAGAAAATTTGAAATTCCCTTCAACCGAATAACAGCAATATTTTCTTACAAAATGTTGTTTGTTTTCTTCGACTTGTTTAACAAAATGCTTGACAGATCTTCGAAGAAAAATATTTGTCCGTGGAATGGGTTCAAGCCCGATTTTCGTCGGGACCGATTCAATTACGTAAACCAATTATAGCGCGAAGATATCCGTCGAACAATGCAAGAAGGAGGACAAAGAGACAAACAAGAATAGCAAGAAGACCCAGCGAAACAAAGGGCAAAGAAGAGAAAAAAAGATGGTGTACGACTAGAGTAAGCCGTAATACAAATTCCAGGACAGTTCGTTAGAGACAAGAAAAGAGAGCGTGTGTTCGTACCTTGAGAGCGGGCCACGCTTCGTTACTCATCCGTCGAGAGGACCTGAAACAAAAACGGCAACGGATGCAATTAGAAGCGAAGATCCGTGTCGGTGCCGAGGCGCGTTACACGCGCGTACACTGACGAGCGTAGATGTTAACGCCCGATAAACAGATACTATCACTCGATCAACGCGAAATCTAATAAATATTTATTCTGGCTATAGTAGCACGATGCCATTAACGACAAGTCGTGACGTCGCTTTGTACATCTTGAGACCGCAAGGGGCAAACAGAATACGTAGCTTCTACTGGATAAATTTTGATTCACGAGGTTCACGGTGCAACCTGTCACGATTAAAGAGATTGCCCAGATGCTTGTCTCTGACGCGCTTTTACCGAGAGAAAACATCTATGCTCGTCGCTGTACGAGTTCGAATAAGAGCAGAGAGACGAACAAACAACGAAGAAGGGATAAAGAAGGACGAGAGAGGACCAGTTCCGCTACCTCAAGTCGGATTTCCTATTGAATTTAGCCGGGCTCACGAGAGATCCGTAATATTATATCGCGGTCTACCCTCATTTGCGCACCCCCGAGGAATCCATTTCCGACTTTTCTTCGGTCTCCGTCCGTGCCGCCATGCCGCCGCTTTGGGGTTCGTCCCCTCGTCTTCCCCGTCCTCTTCTGCCCCGATAGAACCTCGTTTGTCATCGCTTGTTGTGCACCGTCGTTTTCCTATTCGCAAATCATTTGTATTGATGTCGAATTCCATATCGCGTACGTCCTTCAACCCGTTTCGTTTCGTTGCCGCGATATTGTCCCATGACAATTTTCCAATGTTTTAATATCGCGAACGTGGTCGTCCGGCGGAAAATAACATCGAAGATAGATAGAATCGGTAGGATTCGACTCGACGCGATAATATATCGATCCCGCGAACGGCTAATTAGATAAAGTAATTTAGGAGATTACTTTGAAACAACCTCGATAAAATTCGCTTTAGATGGAATGACTATGATTAAAGGAGGTTGAAAATAGAATGGGTAATCCACGGTCGAGAAGGCTGATTTATACGTAGCCATTTTTCAATTGGAACGTTATCTGTATACCCTGCGTCAGCGTCTTGGAGGGAAAACCGTGCGAGACAAAAGTTGATCCTCGAGTGCCACGCGCCAAGTAGACTGATGCATCCTCGTGGTTGAGTAATGCTCTCTCTTTCTCGGCTGAAGTTCATAAATAAATGTATAGCCCAGAGAATTCCCGGCAAATACAGCGACCTCGCTGGCTGCGCTGGTTTCTCGAGAGCTTTGGATCGGAAATGAACGGTAACGACCGAAAGATGGAGCGGCTTTGTATTTTTGAAGCGAACCGCGGTACGAATTATTCATACGTTGTGCGCTTCGAGCTTCTTTGGCAAACGAGAATTAAAAAAGAAACGCGGTTTCGCGTTTCGAATTATCTTCCTTCTCATCGTGTGGGTGCAAACTGTTTTGTTACCTCGACACGCTGCAAACGTAATTTAATACACGACCTACAACCTAACTAGTTTGCGGATAAATACTAGTTTCCTCTGATTCCTCTTCTTTTTTGTCGTTCTTTAACCAACTTGTTTAATAAAAACCAAAACAACGTTGATACTTTCGTTTGTACTTTCTTTGCAAACTTTCGCTTGAATAGGCATCGCTGTTTCTTACGTGACATACTTTCCACCCTTTATTTGCTACGGGGACTTAGAAATTGTTTGCTCTATCGCAAGGTGCTCTGTCAGGCTTCTGTGTATTCGCACAGATACCTTCTTCTTTGTCATCTGGACTTGGAAAAAGTTCTCTAAGTTATTATAGATACTTATAGGATCTCATTTTTGGGGCATTACTGTATTTAACAATATAATTCGTAATTAGCCAAATAAGGTCGTTCCCACCGAAGGAAATGGATTCTTAGCGAAAAACATAATTCAGCCAAAGTATTATAGAGCAAACACGGAGCAGCTTATGCGCTTGAATAGCCTTATCCCGGTTTACATCGGGTATTCAGCTGCGTTCGAAAGGCAGGTTCGGGTGAAAAAAAGGTGTCTCCGGTGGTTGTAAGCAAGGCGATACATTTGGTGGCGTGACAACGAATCGAGCGTACGATTCGTCGGGAAGTCTCCGATCGAACTGGTTTTACTCGCGTTCCCACTCGGGGGTAATCGTGAATGCATGTCGACTGCGAGCTACTCTTCGCTTGGAAACGTTTTCCATCGGTCGTCGAGTGGAAGCGACGATAGAGAGCAACCCTCGCCACCTCTCCTGTCCTCTTGTCCCAACGCTCCTACTCGCCGAATGATTTACGCGATCCGAGCTTTATCGCGGGTTTACGGTGCGTGCGTTCGAGCGTGTTTCTTTTTTCCCTCTGTCTCTCTTTCTTTTTTTTGTTCAACTTCCTACTACACCGACCGGAATTTTCTTCCTTCTTTTTTCGCGTTCGTCACCACCACCACCACCTCCTCCTCCTACGCTTCTAATTAACAATGTCCCCACGCGTCGCTGGTTCTGCGGTCGTGGCGGCGAAAATAAAAAGAAAGGGATTCACCGCACCAGCTAGAAGCTTTTAATGAAGCCAGTCGCGACGTACGGCTGCATCCAATTGGGACCAACTGGTGCGTCCATGCGAGACGCGCCCGCTCTTCTTCTTTCTTTTATTCACGACTCTTCTATCGTTGTCTATTCGACCATCTAAGCTACCTTTTTACCTTTTGTCGATCGTCTCGTCTTATTTCCGAGAGAACGTTCGACAATACCGTATCTACGAATCACGCGGTGATCCTTCGCTTAAACATCGAGGACGAATTCTTCCTGCTGGAAAATGATCACTGGATGGATGATACCGAATCCGATTCTTACTATTGTCTCTAAACGATCCAATCCCACAAATCCCATAGAAGAACTCTGGAATTAATGGACAAATGCGAGTCGAGTCGACTATCGCTTTAAGCATGTGTTGACCTAACAATAGGAATGAGGGATACTCGAGAAAGGGAAGCATTTTTAAAAGCGGTTGTGGTAGCCGGGCTCACAAAGAACACGACGACCCCGGCTAACACACGTCGATCGAAGAGACAAAAGGCAAAAAGCGAGCAAGCAAGCAAGCAAGCAGGCCAGCATCGTTCGTTGACTCGAAACGAGGCTGTGAATCTCAGCCGCTTTTGGCTCGCAATTATTTTTTACTGGTGTACCGTAAATGGAGGTCGCGATCGAACGAGAAACGGCCAACGAATCGTCAGGGTGGCAGCAGGCTGGAAATCGGGGGTGGGTATGGAGAAGAAACAAAAGGATTCGCGAACGGTGCTCTTTATTTCCGGCTAGGGGGCCACGTTATTATCAGCAGACGAACGAATCTGAGGATCGACGCTGGTCGAATCGCCGCACACAGAGACGCGATATTACACCGAGAGAGAGAGGGAGAGAGAGCGTTACAGGGTGAGAAGAGAATTAGAGGGCGAAAAAAATGTAGAGAACAGGGGAGGACAAAGAGGAGTGAAACCAGAGCCGATTAACGTGTTCGTGACCGCGGTTTAAGTTTAAATCTCGACGCCACAAACCTTCCTTTTAATTGTCTCGCACGAATTTTTATGTATTTAGCTGTCTACTCTAATTTGCGCCAAGCTGGTGCTCTTCTTCCCTAACCGCTTAGCAGAAATTGATCCGGATGTAATATTCTGTTCGTTCCATGAATCACTTTGAGAACATCAACCTGCATACGTTCGAAAAATAGACCGACCTAAATAAATGATTAGGTAGAAACGTCTCGCCGGAATACGAAAATACGGACGAATAAATTTTCTATGCGAGGAATAATACCGAAAACTGTTTGAACACTTCCAGGCGTACATAATTTTCGTAAACGAGAACTTTCAACGACCCGGTTGTTTTTTTATCGTACACACAGTTACGATAAAAAGAAATCGCACTCGACCTCGAGCATATTTAATATCGGCGGCCAGCCTCTTCTCCCTTCGTCATAAATCGCATTTTTTTCTTTTTATTTTCTTCCAGCAATAACCGCGAAACTTTGTCGGCAACTTTAATGACCGAGTTAAATTTCGCGAATTTTTTCCTCTTCTCCCGTTCTGATAACTTTCCTTCTTCGTATTCCTATATTTTTTCCTTTCCAGTCTTTCCTCTTTTTCTCGTCCCAAATTCCCACGCGGTTCCGTAATAGAATTAACCATTCGTTCATTGCCGATATTTTACTCGTTTTTCGTCCGGAGGATTACGTTATAACGCTTTAAGCCGACCCATATCGATCCCGAAGTCCTGCCCTTCCGGCTCGCTCTCTTTCTCCTTTTTTCTCTTCCTCCGTTCCACGCTTTTCTCCGTTAAAGCAACTATGCAAATAACGCCGGTTATATGGGGAACAATTAAAAGAGGACCAGTCGTTTCAATAAAATCTGCGCATGCATTCGCATCCAAAGGATGCGTGCACACCGCGCACACATGCCATAAGGAAGCTTCTATTTCTTTTTCCTTTTTACTCTTCACTTTTATAACTTCATTTCCTGCTTATATTCTTCTCCCTTCGTGACCGTCCTTCTCTTCTCTGACCTCGTTTTTACCGTTTCGCGTACTATTGCTTCCTACGTTTCGCCTTCTGGACCTCCTCTTTTTAGTTTTTGATTTCCTTCCATTCACTCCTGGTTCATTTGCTCCGACTTTTTACCTTTTATCTGTTCCTCCTTTTTTGTCATTCCCGCCACCGCTTCAGCGACGTTTCTTGTTTTTATTCGCCTCTTTATTATTCGACGCTTTCCGCTATAAATACATTGTGTTTTACATTTTCGATTCGATAACCGAATAAAGTTTCGTCTGAACTCATCGATATAACACGTAGCGACAATTCAATGGATTTCTAACGCATAGCGTTTCAATCCGTGGCGATAAAACGCGTAACAATACAACGTGCGACGATAGAACACGTTTCTATACAATACCTCGCTGGAGGTGCATTAAACATTGTTTCATTTTTACCACGATTTTCGATGCCTTTCATTCTTAATGTACTATTTGTAGTTGCGAATTATTCAT